CCTCAATTTGTGCCCAGCTGGAAAGATAACATGGAGCTGAAGAGTGCAAAGAGGCAAAGGAACCACACTGGGATGATATTTTCCTTTATGAGACACTTCAACAATCGTAACAGAGGGAATGTCTTATGAGCTGACCGTCAGTTTTAAATATGGAAAATGTCCCCTGTCTCTGGAGTAGTCATTATGCCCTTATACATTTGATGTCACTAACAGAGCAATGGAGAGGTTTGTCCTATATAAATTACGTATTTAACATAAGGAGGAAAAAGTGATTGGCTCCCAAATCCTGGTGTGTGCCAAGACTCCTGTATGTTTGGTAAGAAGTTACACTCTGGTTCCCTATTCTCCCTCTAGTCTATCCTCTCTCTTTTTATAGTATGCTGTGTTGTTATCTCACTTAATTCTGCACCCTTTTTATGTATTAGTTGTAATTTCTGCCAAGTTGTGCATGAGTGTATGTGTGTGTGTGTGTGTACATGTGTCTGTGTCTGTGTCTCTGTGTGCATGTCTGTGTGTATGCGTCTGTGTCTGTGTGTATGTTTCCGTGTGTATGTGTCTGTCTCTGTGTGTGTCTCTCTGTGTCTGTGTGTGTACATGTCTCTGTGCATGTCTGTGTGTATGTGTCTGTGTGTATGTGTCTGTGTCTGTATCTGTGTGTCTCCGTGTATGTTTCTGTGTTTATGTGTCTGTGTCTGTGTGTCTGTCTGTTTCTGTCTCTCTCTGTCTCTGTCTCTGTCTCTGTCTCTGTCTCTCTCTCTCTCTCTCTCTCTCTCTGTGTGTGTGTGTGTGTTGGCCAAAGATCAACCTCAGATGTCTCCCTCAATTGTTTTCCCCATGTCTCTTGCTGGATCTCATGGATTGGAAAGACTGGCCAGCCAGCAGCCCCAGGAACCCTCATGTTTCTGCCTCCCCAGCTCTGGGCTTACAGGCTCATACCACCACACCTGTTTTTTTGTTTGTTTGTTTTTGTTTTTGTTTTTTTTAATATAGGTGTTGGGGTCCGAACTCAAGTCCACATGCCTGCATGGCAAGCATTTTACTGGCTATACGATTGTTCTATTACCTGAAATGTTCAGAGGCATAAACCTGCTATTTTTGTATAAAACTCTATATGTGGCTGTGTCGCAGGTCATTTGTGAAACTCCTAAGTGACCTACATGAAGGGGGGCTTTCCAGTATATTTTGGAGTTTGCTCCTGCAAGTGTATATTACTGATCTGAGAGCATTGTTTGGTTTTGTTTTCTTAAATTTTTCAGATTAGTGGTTTTTGAACTCCTAAGTTTAGAACAGTAACCGGTAGATATAAATTCTCAGACTCTGTGAGACATACAGATTCTCAGGAGAGACTAGCCACACATCTTTACAACAACCAATGGACCGTCCCCATCCCCTGACCCAGGTCAGCCTTCTAAGAGTCCACGTATTATGTAGGGAACTCAGTTCCAACTTGTTAACTTCTATTGGTTTTTATCCTCATCTGGCTGCTAAAACTTAATCACCATGGTCACGGAGACTGGGCAGATGCCATAATGCACGTGTCCCGGGACTCATTGCTCTCACAAGTCTCTCTTTCTTCCTGTCACTCTGAGGAATGTCCTACTTGTAAACTTAGTCCTTTATTATTCTGTTTTAGTCAAGAATATTGTAACACTTTTGGTGAAAGGGTTTAGGTTATCTGGTCTACCATATGCCTGGAAATGAAGCTATCAATTCATTCTTCATGCTACAGCCAGAGAAACCTTCTCAAAATACAAGTGTGATTTCATTAACAGCCTCCCCTAAAATACTAGAATAGTTTCTCAATGGTCTTGAGACACTGAAATCCATAACCCATAGGGCCCTGAATGGTTTGGCCCTTGCTAGCTTCTCTGGCCTCATGTTGCAGTCTATTCCTCCCCATCCTCCCCACTCACACTGGTGTTCCTGTGGTTTCTGGTAAGACTGTATCTTACCATTGTACTCTTCACATTCAATTTCCACCCCCTACAGTGTGCCTTCATCTCTATGATTTACTCATAATTCAGATTTCAACATAATTGTATTATGGCAGCTATCTGGGTGCACTTTCTCTGACTCATGTATATGTTGCCTTAAATGTTTTTCCTTTATAACACTTACCATGGTTATTATTTTACATTTAATTTTGAGATCATTTTATTAGTATCTCTTGCCCACTGGGGTACAAGCTCTATTGTAGCTGGAGAGCTTCTCTCCAGGTCCCACCAAGCCCTGGCAGTCCCTTAGCCCATTTATAAAATAAACATACAGACATTTATATTATTTAAACTGCTTGGCCATTAGTTCAGGCCTATCATTGTTTAGCTCTTACTCTTATATTCAGCCCATTTCTATTAATCTATACTTTGCCACGTGGCTCGTGGCTTACTGGTACCTTACATCTTCCTTGTCCTGGTGGTGGCTACAGGGAGTTTCTTCCTTCCCTTCCTGTTCCCTTAATTCTCTTCTCTGTTAGTCCCGCCTATACTTCCTGTCTGGCTACTGGCCAATCAGTGTTTTATTTATTAACATATTTGCCATACAGAACATCCCACAGCACTCTATGATGCCAGACACCATATCTGGTCCACTCATTTTGTCAGCGAAATTAATGCTAGCTGTGCTTACATTGATGTGAGCAGTCTTAAAATCTCAGTCATCCAACACTATGAAGTTTATTCCTTCTGCCATAGTCTAAAGTTGGTGAGTCAAGTCTTCTCTAATTAAGCCCCCAGAGAACCAGATGACATCCTCATCTTGTCTCTGTCACCTTCTGGATCACATCAAAGGGGAAAAGAATGAGATGTCATTTGGGAGGTTTTATGAACCAAGCCAAGCATCTCCGTATTCTACTCACACCTCACTGGCCAGAGCTTAACTGCAAAGTCTACTTCAGAAGAGTTGGAAAATAAAGATTGTGTGTCTGAGAAGAGGAGAAAGTGGATATTTGGGACATGTGTCTCTGTCACATGGTTCTATCATTAGCAAAGAATGGTTCCTGATAGTAGAAAGTTCTCAAACACAAGAGGAATGAACTAAAAGTAGATGATGTTGTTTGTCAGTGAGCAGTGCGCTGGGTCAGCTACTTAAGCTCTTGGAGCACAGAGACCATGTCTGACTTGTCCATCATGCTGTCCCTGGTGCTGGAAGAGGTTTTGCCCAGGTTTAAGTTTATTCAGTGCTTGAGAGAGTCCACAGGGAAGATGGAATGCTGGGGATCTCTAAAGAAGGGTGTGGAAAGAAACCGGAAACAGTCTGAGAAGTGAGTTTGTAAGCCATGGGGAGGAAGTGATGAAGAGAAGCTGGTGTGCATGTGACTGAGTCACACAGGAGCGTGTAAATAGTGGAGAACTTTTGGGTAACACTCACATGGCTAGTGTCATCTGAACACCATGACTGCTGAGCTGCAAGCTTTAGCCTCTTCCCTTTGGTGTTATATGGAGGGACCAGGAGCCAGACAGGTCCCTGATAGGCACAGAAAGGGGCCACAGCGACATAATAAAGTTGACAAACTTCCTGCTTCTCCTTCACACTCCCAATCTGATACAAAGGCCCCGCTTCTGGCAGACCAGTCACGGCTGGTCAGATAGGTTCAGACTCATTCCTAGACGTGTTTCCCTCCAGCTGTGGGCCTATTAGCCCCCCCTCTCTTTGTCTATGCCGACCAATCTGAAATTAGAGGAGGGTGACCCATCCCCAGGCCACCAAAACCACTTAAAACCCATGGTCTTCCATGGGGAAAATGGACTTCAGTCTGAGCCCCCCCCCCCATGCTCTGCAGGGAGTCTTCTTCTGTCTCTGAGTGTGCTTTACTATGTATGTGTGCATTTTCACTTTAAATACATTTTACTTGTTGCTCTCTGCTGCTTCTGCCATTTCCCATGCCTTTTAATTCCTTCCTCGGCAGAGAAAACGAACCCGTCCAGGACCCCTAGACGGTCACAACATAGCTTCTGTCTGGGAATCGACTGTCCCTTCAGTGTGACAGGCCCTGGCCTCCTCTCTTCTTGCTAAAAGGGAGCTAAAATCAGTAAAATGTGCACAGAAGTCTGTCTTCCGATTGTCCCGACGCTGGTTCTACATAAGGGACTTTGCCCCCATCCATGCCAAGTGGAAAACCACATTAGTTCCAGGCCCAGCTGTCAGGCCAGGATTTCACCCTTGCTTTTCCCCAATCAATACACAGAAATGCCTGGTGCTGCTGGGAGGGAGGGGGGGCTGCATTTTAAAAAAATCAAAAAAAAAAAAATAGAATGAAGTCAGACAGACAAAAATCTTTGCTTTCTTTCCTGAAGCTCTCTGCTCAGAGGTGATGGAGACCACCCTGACCACTGCAGAAGGGCGTGAGGGCGCCACCCTGCATTGCCACAGAAAAGGACCTGGGCTATGGAAAGTGCCGGGTCCTGTAATGTTGGAGGTAGTGACAGGGGAGCCCCTCTACCTCTGGGGTTTCAGCGGTGCAGTGAGCTTCCCTGGATCAATACTTTAGTCTTGTCATGCTAATTGCTCATTGGTTGACATTCATGATCCTTCCTTGCTCACTCCCTATGTAAACTCCTTACAGCGGGAACAGTGAGATGCAAAAATCCAGAGCCTTCCAAGCCAAGCTCCTGCAGAAGACAGAGGGCCTGGCCGCTGAGGTATGATGCTCCCCCATTTCTTATCCCCGCCCCCCTTAAAAAGCTTCATGTCTGTCTGAATGTGGTAAGGATAGAGAGGTACGTGCAGAAATGCAAAGGGTAACTCTCCTACACAAGGTAACTAGCATTCCCATTTTAGAACAAAACAGGAGCTCCTCTGTTGTCTTCCACAGCCTCCAAACACAAACAAGCAAACCAATGCAAAGCAGAAAACATCCATCCACCCATCCTGTGAGTCTGGTTGCCGCCCTTCCTGTCCTGGTGACGGTCACTCTTCACCATTTCACACTGAGCATGTACCTGCACTTGCTCCCAGACTAGGGTATGTCAGACAGAGCTGGAGAGCGAGACAGGAAGAACAAGAAGGCATTTGGTGTGTGTGTGTGTGTGTGTGTGTGTGTGTGTGTGTGTGTGTGTGTGTGTGATCACACCTACCATATTGGCTTCCTGTCCCTGGAACATCAGCTTTCTAGCTGGCTGAGCCTGTCCCCATGATTGTACGTGTTGCCACTGAGACCACCCCAACTCGTACCCTGTAAGCTTCGGGCCTGTGCTATGCAGGGTTTTGTTAAGCTGTTTAGTATTAATTGATTTTTTTTCCCATTTTTTTCTTTCTTTCCCTGGGCGGGTCAATAGCTGGATGCTTCAGGAGCAGAGGATCTATCAACCGCAGACCAAGCGTGGGGAGCTGCAGACAAACCTGAGCAGCAACCTGGCCAGCTCGGGGAGCGCCGACCATCCTCAGTGGCCTGGCAGTGGGCAGCAGGAAATGCGCCGTGGCCACGAGGCAAGGAATCAACTCCGACACGATCATTGACACCTGGTAAGTTTCTTTACTTTTGAAAAGTGAAACAGAAGATAACCAAGTCTTGCTTTCCTTACTCAAAAAGGGTCGACAGTGTTTTTGACTAATTGTAGTAATGAGCAAATTCTAGAAGCCCCTGCAGACCTGGGAGCATGGGCTAGGGAGAATGAGGATCCGCGGCATAGATAACGGTTAACCAAACTCTGATCCTAAGGTGAGGCACTACAGCCAAGCAGACGTCCTGGGCATTGATCCTTGCATTCTGTTATTGATTTTCTCTTGGGGCCAAGAATAGGGTGGACCTATGGAGGACAAGAGGGGAACCGACACCTTCCCGGAGGGCCGAGCAGCCCTAATCGGTGATAACAGTGTTAAGTGGTCTGCCTGGAGATGAGGTTTGCTCGGATCTATTGATCTGTGCTCCCCTGGGATATAAATCCTTCTGAATTTGCTTTCGTGGATATAAATATTTATAATTAAAATAGCCTAGGAGCCTCTTCTAGGCACAAGAAGAGTGGCCCATTCCAGGATAAAGCTTGATATCCATCTCTTGCATTTCCCTTCTTTGCACACGTCTCTCACTTGGCTTCCATTCGTACATCTCACTCTGCTTGGAAGCCGATTTTGAGCCCCTCTGTGTAGCAGGCACAATGTCTGACTATCAGAATCCAGGTGGAAAAAAAAAAAAAAACAACCTTTCGTTCTAACTGCAGCATCCGGCTGGGGAGGGAGTGTGGCTTCCCCAGTGAAGGCTGTGTCGTTCACGTACATTCAGGATCTGGGACTCGGAACGAAATGGGCTATCTGGGTGATGAGGGGCTAGGGAAAAGACTTATTTTTCCAGTAATTGCTTTGTTTTTGCTTTTATTGGTGAATCCGTTTGGATCACATAGCAAAGGGACATTATAACACAAATGTTTTCCCCAAGGCTGAGACCCGCATCGGCTAGCTGTGCAATATTCGCACTAGGAGAACAACCTGAAGGGTCCCAGACTCTCACTTCCTACCACCTCATAAATGTAAGCTTGCGTGGTGCGAACAGGGCGCCCTTACAAAAGATAATGAAGAGGAGAGGGGACGACAGGGGACCTCCCGGGCAGCAGAGCCATAAGCCCAGCCAGCAAGACAGGCAACATGGAGCAAAGCTTGTCACACTAAAAGGACAGCCCTCATTCAGCTTTAGGGTTTAGAAATCTGGGTGGAGAGCATGTGGGGTTGAAAAAAAAAATTCATCTACCGCGTTCCTTAAACTAGTGATCTGTTTTGGTGTTTGGGATCCAATCTTTTAAGACTGGGAACTTCTGTTTTGATCGGGCATGTCCCTTGCTTTGGTGCCAATAATGGGTCTGTCCTTGGCATAATTTAGGGGAACAGAATTAAACACTTGCAGATCTTACACTGACTGAAGATGTTGTGTTAGTGGGTGTGTAGCTCTGCATGGAATAGTGGGAAAATTCATTGTTTTATTTTTCTCCTAATTTTAGATTATTTCATTATTCCAGCCTGTCATTCTAGAAGTTGATAACTATCTGTGTATCTTTGTGTAGGTGTCTGGATTTGGAAAGTGATGAGTATGAGCAAATTAGTAATTGACATTTCTCTATTTGCCACGAATTACCTTTCCTGGATTTGTATTAAGCTTTTTTTCCCCCTTTTTATCCGGACACAATATTTTCAAAACTCAAATGCAGTTTATTTGCCTCTTTTTCAGTGTATGGCTGAAGGTAGGGACTATAGCAATGGGCAGCCAAGGGTCAGGATCTGGGGCATTTGAGTTTGATAATTTATACACAATAAAATCTCACAAGTGTAATTACAACAGCTTTGTTTTGACGTGGGGTTTGCAAGTGCCCTTGAGGCCGAAAACCACCTCAAACTGGCAATGGAGTCGATGTGCATAGTTACTGTGTGTCTTCATGACATGGAGAGAACTGGAATACACCTCTCTTTGTCTGATCAATATGACACCCCAAATATGATGTGTTTATAAAAATGAACTTCCAACATTGGTGTAAAGAATGCAGGCCTAGGCTAGAACTTAAATCCCCTTTCCTAGGTTGTAATGAAAAACACAATTAATAGAAATATTTTTTTTAACTAGCCTGAGATCTGTCATTCTCTTATTGTGTGCGTCCTTTGTCAATGTTTGCTTGAATATTCCTGTAAAGAAACTTAGTTGGGGAAAGCAATAGAAATTTTAAATTGGAATAAATTCCACCAATTAAATGTGTACATGTTCATGATCTCAGTGTCATTAACTCTAGACAGCAGATCCATAAACTAGTGGCTGTGTTTTCACTACAGGTTGTATGTGAAAGCTCATCGCCAGCTATGGGGAAGTAATTTAATTAGGAGATCATCTAGTCACTGAGGATAACAAGTCATTGTCTTGTAGGAATATAAATCCTGGGTTATAGAGATGTCTATAGACTGTACTCTCATTTTATATTTTATACATATAGATATATTTTCTTTCTTTTTATGTCAAACTCAGCTTATTGGCAAGGTAATTCTAATTTAAACTGACTTCTTTGAGGCTTATGTAGAGTGAAACATACATTTTTTTCTTGTTCCTTATTCTTCTCTCCTACAGTGCATCCTGACTACAACCTCCCATAGATATATTTTCAACACAATCTGTCTAACAGTTTTGATCTTCAATATATTTAATAATATAAGGTTATAGTAAAATCTGACTGAAATTTCTATATTTATAACAAAATACAATTATATAAATACTTCACTGTTGTTTCCTTGCTAATAAGATATCTATTATGGTTCAAATCTCCTAAAGAATTTTGGCATGCTCATTTGAGTAAACGTAAAAGACAAATTAGAACAATGGTTGTCATCACGACTTTACCAATGATAAAGCATGGGCAAGGTGACACATATTAATGCCAGACTTGAGGCTAAGACCTGAGGCCATGGGTTTCTGGTCAAGTGTTCTTTCCACAGCTACTAGCCATCTCTATTGATGTTTGACAACATTTTAGAATAATCATTAAAACCAATGAAATGCATGTATGCAAATGCTAGTTGATCTTAAGTGATCCTTAGCATCCTACTCATGCCCCACCCCAAATGGCAGAGTATTTCAGCTGTCTTTCTTTGACCTTTATCAAATCACAGCCTGCCCTTGATTCTGAGGTCATTACATACCTATTTTGTTAGCTTCAGAAATTCTGTGTGAGCTGTTAATACATCTTACAGATTTGCTGCCCAGGGATGCGTCCTATGAAATGTGGAATCACTCACTATTTTATTTTGTAAAGTCGTTAATATGTATTTTGTCTTTAGAACTACTAACATTTTTTGTAATGAAACAGTGTGTAAAATTTGAAACATCAGGTAATTAAAAGCAAGAATGAGCTATTCCTTCAGGGACTATCGCCTACTGTTTCCTCAGCCTCCTCCCTATGTGGGAGTGCTTAACCTTTGCTGTGCCAGATACTACGATAGACCCAAAACCATGTCCACTTCACAAAATGATTCTGTTGTGTGCCTCAAGAAAAAACACATAGTCTGATGAGGGAATCCAATCAGTATAGAAATTTAGTTAAAAAGAGAATAAATCAATTAAATATTAAAATCAGTTTCTGATATACCAACATGTATTTCTTATTAAAACATGACGTAGCCCAATAGTAGATGTACTACTATAATATTAAGGCAACAATGACCATAAAAGATGGGAACTGACTACAATGGTATCTTATATTAATATAATATGAAACAACTGTGAATTCTATAGGGGACGTTAACAGTGGTATTGTTAATTTTGCTATGCTTTGCTCCCTTTTATTTGCAATGGAAGGAAATGCTAAATATTGGTTGGTGCTAGTGAAAACAAAGAGGTATTGTTTCTCCATCCATGATCATAGGTTTGCTAAAGTCTCACTAGTCCTTGGAAATCAGTGGGTGCCTGTTAAGAACCCCTCTTACTGAACAGGTTCTGCTTATCGTGCAAAGCTTAGCTGAAGCATCACTCAACAGAACTTAGCCAAGCCTCCCTCAGTTAGAGTCAGCTGCTTTTCCTCTGTGCCCCCAAGTACTCCACAACCTCTCCAGCCTGGCTCCTAGCACTCCACAGGATCTGCATCAATTTGCTCCTCCTTCCTACACTTCCTGAGAACATGGACCATGCCTTGTACTATAAGTTACCATCACCTAGCACAGTATCCAGCCTATTGTAGATATTTCACTAGACATTGAAAGGAATAAAGATGGAAAACTTAAAGACAGGGAGCTTTTTTTAAAGACCACAGACTATAGTCTTTAAAATTTGAAATTAAAGTCAGCAGCTTGACAGTTTGCTTGGGTCAGGTTTTCTATTGATCCCCAGGTACTAAAAAGATCACGTGGACCAGTCCTGTTTCCCCTTGAGTGCAGATCTCTAGTTATAACCCCTTTAGAGCCACAGGCTCTGGCCAGAGGCATCCCTCAGTGGTTAAGAGTACTTGTTGCTCTTGCAGAGGATCCAGGTTCAATTCCCAGCATCCACATGGTGGTTCATCACCATCCCTAAATTTAGTTCCAGGGGTTCTGATGCCCTCTTCTGACCTCCTCAAGCATCAAGCACACACATGGTGCACATACATACATGCAGACAAAACACTCATGTATAAATTAAATGGATAAATCTAATAAAAAATTAAGTCATAGCCCCATACTAGTGGCCTAAGACTATTAGTACCTGAGGTTCAGATCTGTTTTACTTCTTGGAGGCCCTCATCTGTAAAGAAGAGGGAGGGGCAGGGTGGACATGGAGATGAGGGACTTTTTTGGGCTTTTCAGGACTTTGTCAGTCAAATTTTAAAAGACAGGAAAATGGCTTTGATGCTAAAGTCATTTATAATGTGAAAGTCCTCCCTAAAACTCTATGTACTGGAAAATGATTATTAATATTTCCTTGAAAACTAGAACACTAATAATAAAAGCATCCTCAGTCCTTAGCATGGATGTTTTATGTGGGATAAACACAGATGCTTATATACATGAAGGCACATTTCCAGACA